GATACAATATTTTTTTTTAAATAAAATGTAAAATATATAAACAAGGTGTTACTAGATGATATGAAATGAAACTTACTTTTTTTGTATTATAGGATATATATTATATATTAATTTAATATACTTTTATTTATTATTATTATGGCCTGAAATGAGTCTATCTTTGTGAGATTCTTCCAAAAGTGATTTAGAAGTTACAGGACAGCAAAACTTGCTCCAGTTATTTCACTGATGGACAAGCAGCTGAAAACAACACCACAACACAGTGAATTTCCCGGACATCTCAGGAACCAGCATTCACAACGACACCGGAGATCCAAAATGATCCTGCAAGACTGTCACAAAAATAATCGTGTGGAGGTGTCCGTCTGTCCGGAGAACAACTGCAGTTACCAGCCCTTTCAATCTGCATCAGTGTTCTTCAGCGAAACAGCCGAGCGTTTGTTTCTGACACTGAGGTCTGTGGGTGGAAAAGATGCTGAGCTCCGGATGGCCGTCAGACTGATCTCTGAGATAACGAGCAGTCTGTCCATCTCAGGAAACAAATCCCTTCACTCGTGTGTGTCTGAATCAACATCCGTTCAAGCAAAGACACGGATCGGCCTTCGCTATAATCAAGGTCTGTCTGTGATAAACTCTGAACCGTTCCACAGTTTTGGGCTCAAAGCAGCCTGTCGTCGTTGGATCAAGTAGACTGACATGGATTTGCTTCACAGTATGGCAAACATGCTGACTGATGAATGTACACTACCATTGAAAAGTTTGGGGTAAGAAGAAATGTTTCTTGAGCAGCAAATCAGCATATTAGAATGATTTCTGAAGGATCATGTGACACTGAAAATGCTAATGCTTCTAGCCATGCATGTTTGACTTTACAGTATGTGCTGTTGCATTGCAAAAATATGAAAATAATTCATAATTCAATGCAAAGTTTCACGTCAGAGCTGCAACTCTAATGTGTATTTTAGAGCATCTGGAACACTGCATTTACAAATCAGCATCCATAATCCATAACTGAACTGTTTTATAATGTGAAATATGATTATGATGTCTGCCTCAGGCATTAAGTTATCTGCAGTCCTTACATTAGATGTAATATCTCAATCTTCTACAAAACCATTAAGATTGTTGTTCTTGAAATTACTCACATTAGCCCAGCCAATGCATACAGCAGTCAGATCACACACACACACACACACACACACACACACACGGATTTCATTCTGGACCAGCAGCTGTTCTGAGTGTTGAACCCTTTCAGGAAAATATCAGCATCAAATCTGATGCATTATGATTCTACGCATATGAGTGAACTATTTCACAACTGTTTTACTGTGTTTTTAATCACAAATGCAGCTTTGGTGAGCAGAAGAATCTTCTTTCAAAAAACATTAAAAAGATCTTAACAACTGTAAACCAA